TGCCCCATCATTGATATCAGTGGGAACAGTGCCCCATCATTGGTATCAGTGGGAGGAACAGTGCCCCATCGATATGAGTGGGAGGAATAGTGCCCCATCATTGGTATCAGTGGGAGGAACAGTGCCTCATCATTGGTATAAACTAGGAGGAATAGTGCCCCATCATTAGTATTACTGGGAGGAATAGTTCCCCATCATTGGTATTACTAGAACCAGTGCCCCACTATTGGGATTAGTGGGAGGAATAGTGCCCCATCATTGGTGTGTCAGGGGGGTGAATAATGCCCAATAATTGGTGTCAGAGGAAGGAATAGTGCCTCATCCTTGGTATTAGTTGGAGGTATAGCACCCCATCCTCGGTATTAGTTGGGAGGAATAGTACCTAATTGTTTATATCAGTGGAAAGAAATGTGCCCCATCAATGGTGTCAGTAGAAGGAAAAAAAAAATGCCTCATAGTTGGTACCAGTGGAAGAAATCATGCCTCCTTGTTGGGGGCAGTGGGAGGAATAGTACTAGCCGGATAAAGGAAAGCAAAGGGCCACAGATTGGCAACCACTGCTCTAGATGACCAAACATTAAGCTGCTCTCTGTTACGTGGACCCCCGGTGTGGATATTTGTTGTTAAGAATCTGTACTTTGTTTTCTTTTGAACTGTTTAACCAATTCAATACCGGGCAATTTTACCCCCTTCCTGCCCAGGCCAGTTTTCAGGTTTCAGCGCTCTCACACTTTGAATGACAATTGCGCGGTCATACAACATTGTACCCAAACTAAAATTTTATCATTTTCTTCACACAACTAGAGCTTTCTTTCTGTGGTATATAATCACCGCTGGGGTTTTTCTTTTTGCTAAATTAACAAAACAAGACCAAAAATTAGGAAAAAAAAAAAACATTTTTCTTTGTTTCTGTTATAAAAGTTTGCAAATAAATAATTGTTCTTCATAAATTTAGGCTGAGATGTATTCTGCTACATGTCTTTGGTGAAAATAACCTAAATTGGTATTTATTATTTAGTTTGTAGGAAAGTTATAGAGTTCACAAACTATGGTATAGATCTGAATATTGATCAATCCTGAAGTACTGACAGCCAATCTAATTTCTTGAGGTCCAGGAATGTCAGAACAGTACAGATATCCCCCAAATGACCACTTTTTGCAAAGTAGACAGTCCGATGTATTTCATAACAGGCATGGCGAGTTTTTTGAAGTTGTAATTTTTTTGTCATAATTTTTCATAAAATGAAGAAATTAAAAAAAAAATTCACAATTTTGTTTTACATACTGTCACCAGTGCAGTACAGCGTCATCATATAACTGGCATGGCGGTGATCAGGAACACTGACTGGTGACAGTATGAAAAAAAAATATATTTTTTTTAAATTTTGTTTTCAGATTTCACTATGACCATAGTAACATTGTACTACTTTGGGGAAGTATCAGTTTTTTTTTTTTTAACACAATTTGCTTATAGCAAAGAATTACTTTGCTATAAGCAAGCATTTACCTGAATGACATCGATTCATTCAGGGTTTTTTTTTTTTGTGCTTAGCTGTGATTTGGCCACAGCTAATCACATGACATGTGTATGTGATTAGCTGTGACCATTCACAGCTAGACACTAGTATACAATGGATGGCATGAATGAAGCCATCCATTGTATACAACTGTCATGTGACATGCTGTGATTGGTCACAGCAGGTCACATGGTACCGGCAACGGGGGCCGATACTCAGAAGTACACGGCCGATGACAAATCGCGCCGCTGCGCAGCTCTGCAGGAGCGTAATCTGCGCATGTGTGGGAGGACGCCATATGGCGTCCACCCAAAAAGGCTGATGACATTTGCCGGCCGCCATTCGGCCATAGGGCGGGCGGCAAATGGTTAACTATGTATTGCTTACGTTCCCATGCTCTGTTGATCTAATCAATAAAAATTTCTTTGGTATCAGAAACAATTGAGTACTGTCTGTGATACTTTTTTTATTTGCACTAACATACAATTTTGAGGACAAGCTTTCGGGGTATGTCCCCTTCTTCAAAATCCAAACAGTACTGTACAAATCACAAAGTTTCAACAGAATGTTAGAAGAGATGAAGGAAAAAAAAAAAAAAAAAAAAAAAAGGAGGCGAGATAAGATACAGCCAAAGTGAGGGGGGGGGGGGAGAATACTACACCCTCCCCCCTCGCTTTGGCTGTATCTTATCTCTACCCTCTTTTTTTTTTTCTTCTTCATCTCTTCTAACATTCTGCTGAAACTTTGTGATTTGTACAGTACTGCTTGGACTTTGAAGAAGGGGAAATACCCCGAAAGCTTGTCCTCAAAATTGTATGCTAGTGCAAATAAAAAAAGTATCACAGACAGTACTCAATTGTTTGTCGCAAATGCACTAATACGGCTACAATCACCTCAAACAATTTGGTACCAGAAGTGCATTTTTTCAAAAAATCTCCAACATGCCCAATCACTCAAATTTGATGGTCGTTTGAAAATCAGCTGTTGATGTGGCCCACTAATGGTGTGAAACTTGAACATAAGTTCCTAGAAAAGATTTTCGGAATTTGACCCATATATGGCTGCTTTTAGGGTTAGTTAGGATTTTCCTTTCTTTCCACTTTAAACACACCTGTGTGAGGTTTTGCCAGCATAGGATTCACAAGTATTCCATACATCTGCAGGCAGGCAGTCCTGTTAATGTGAACTGGGATGCAGCAGCTGAATGGACACAGCCAAAGCCCCCAATTTGACATCTGCGTGGGCGTATCCCCAAACAGTGTGAGCTGAAAGACACGTACCTGCATACACCCACATGGGAGCAGTAGCTGTGTCCCAATACACTACCTGCACACAGATGGAAGGAACCCCTGTCCATCCTATTTGGTTTGTATGCTTAGATACACACACACACACACGTGAATGAGGCTTAAGTAGCCCTTAGGCCTCATTCACGTGTGTGTCTAAGCATA